TATATATATATATATATATATATATATATATATATATATATAATATATATACCCTATAGCACGTAGACATCTGTATACATATAGATATATTTTCTCATATGTATAAATCTATGTGTAGATTGTATGTGTGTACGTGCGCGCGCGCGCGCGCGCGCGTGTGTGTGTGTGTGTGTGTGTGCGCGCACGAGTTATTAATCGATGTTATTTGTGAATAGTACTAAATGTCAAATAATATTAATATTCATGTAACATAGTCCTAGTTTATTCTATTTATTATACAACAGTACAATTAAAAATAATATCTGCGTGAAAAACAAATTGATAATACGATCATGTTCTAATTCTTGTCGTTTTTTTGGGACAAACCAAATATATAATATCTCTATCTACATATTACAAACTTTCTATAAACTCAATTTAACATGTTCGTATACCACGTTGTGTCATTACGTGTACTATGTACCTAAATTTTGACATACTTTCCTAATAGTGTGTTTCCATAAATATTTCTCACTACTACTTCCTTTTTTTACAGATAATATATCATTTTACTAATGCCGTAAATACAAATATACTCTGCTTAAATAAAAAAAGAGCTTTCTCATTCTTTATGTATAGCCTCTATTTAAGAGTAACAAATTACATAACGCAATCAATCAATCAATAACAATCAATTCTATTAAATGTGCATAAGTTAATGATAAATTATATAAGAAATGCTTTTATGAGAATAACATGGTAAATATAACAAACGATTAGAATAATGGATATTGTTACATGTGTTGACAGAATTGTAAATTTTATAGTTATTCTTTTAGAAAAGGAATTTATGTATTATATAAACAAACCTATGATTTGTTTTGATTGACATGTCTCTTACGTATTTATATCAAACTGTATTAAAAAATAAGAAGATAAAAAGAGAGTTGAACGTAAGAATTCAATGTTGCTTCTATCTGTGTCTTTATAAATGATCATATCATATACATTTCAATAAAGAACATACTCAACAATTATATATCGGCGGCCAGCGCTTATCTCTCTCCGAAATAGAGCCATGAGATTCCGAATGCCTCGTGTTTCCTGCCATTTTCTTTTCTTTTCAAGTATTAATTTTGATCACTCTTTAATGTCTGAAGATTTATCCTTCGTATGTAGTTTAAATTGACAGTATCTCAACGCAAATGGGCAGACAAATCAGTACATTTGTATCTAGCATGTTTCTGCGAAGATGCTTATAGATTATTGTTTCTTTCAATATTCAAATATTAACATAGCAATAGTTATTGCTGTTATTTTATTTAGAAGAAGAAAGAATTTCTACATATTTATTCTTCCCTTCCTCCTAAGAAATGTATTATATATAGTTTTTAAACTTTAGAAAGGTTTAAGCTTGTCTTTCACATTAAATTTTTTTCAGATTTTGTACAACTTTTGTCAATATAAATATATAATTGATATAATTATAAAGGAACAATTTCAAATCGCATTTCTCAGAAACATGCTATGGATGTCAATTTGTAAGCGATAAGCTACTTACAAATTGATATTAATGTGCTGATTGGACTGGCCAGTTGCGTTGATTACGGTTCATTTTCTTAAACTGTCTTTGCTACTTGCACGGCTAGTTGAGGCTGTGCTAGATTCTCCCGGTCCACCAGTACCACCTGCATCTCCATTGATGCTAGAACCGGCAAGTGATGCAGTGGGCGTTACTGGCGCCGAACGCCTCCTTACTTTCGTTAAAGCTTTGTCCAATCTTTGAATGAATGCATCCACATCAGATCGCTTCATGCCTAACGCTGCCGCAGCAGTTAGATATGGAACTCTGTAATTGCTGTTGTGTGCACCCCAGCCTATGTTGGCACAATCATAAAACAATTATAAAACCAGAATTATCTTTGACAAGGATAAAAATACAAATAAATGAGATAGATGTTTGAGATATTCTTGAATGGAAATTATAAACTATATCTTAATAAACTTAATTTTATTAATTTAATAAAATTAAATTTATTGAGTTATAGTTTATAATTTCCATTAAAGAATATATATAATAATTTTAAGATATTAGAAGTCATACTTCCAAGTATGTACCTTCAAATTTATGTGAAACGATGTGTTTAGAATCTGTAGTCGTTATTACTCTAGTACCACTAACATTACGCAGAAATAGCATTGATCCTAGCATAGTAACTTGCTTGTTATCGTGCTGATGACTTAGACACTGAAGAGTCATAGCCATGGATATTGGATTGCCCTTAGTGTCTAATAGCCTCTCTCCATGCCTTGTCGCTAACTTTCCCAATTCATCTTTCAGGTAAGAATACATTTCTTTACGTTGAGCAATCAATTGCTTGTACCCTGCCATTCCAAGACTCAACAGCGTTATCATTACATCCATAACGGAACTCGCGCTTGCACGTCCTGGATACATCTTCGATATGCGATCTAAAAGATTCTTGTCAAAGGAGCCTATGATGGCACCACCCACTGGAACTAGAAAGTTCTTGTCCGTGCTTTGAACGAAAGCATCCACGCGACCTTTTCTTGACGCTTCTTGTATGAGATGCATACATCGTGTACTCTGCAAGCTTTGAGCAATATAGTGTAATATATTCAGTAAAATTGTTTTCACTCGGAATATATATTTCGATATCTCGAAACTGGAGTTCTAATTTTCAAACAGAAATTCTGCCGTTGGTCGCTTCAGTATCAAGATATCGATCTACAGATATATATACGCGTAAAGAATCATGTGTATTCTTTTACCTACCCATATGCATTATTTACCAAATGTGGTATATTGTATTGGCTGCAAAGAGCCGCGATCGCGTCTACAGAATCGCATGCCCTGGGCGCAAAGCAGCTAGTTGTTGTAAGTACACAAGCGACGCTCTCGCCTAGGGCTGCCATTTGAGCCTCGAGTCTCTGCATGTCGGTTTTTAATTCATCTCCTATTATTTGCATCTCGATAACAATGGGTTCTAATCCAGCCGTGATTATAGATTTGAAGCTAGATTTTTGGTCGATTCTAGGCCATAAAACATATTTTGCACGTGGTCTGTCTTGCTTAAGCGTTAACATACATAAAACTAGGCTCATTCCTGTAGCCATTGGTGATAGAAAGCAGCCTGCTATGCTCTTCACTCCTGCAATTGTAAATATCCCAGTTAAAAGCAATATATAAATTCTATTTAACATTATGTTAATGAAGAAAGCCATTCTCTATACACATTCTTTTTAAATAAGTCAGGAATAAAACAAAATAAACAAAAATAAAAAATAAAATAAAATTAGAAAAAAATAAATTAGAAAAAGAATAAATTGCACACATTAAACTTCATCTCTCTTAAAATCACAAAAATATTAGTTTTTCTAATTATTAAATATAAATGAAAATGTTTCACTTTCTCTATAATATATATCACTGTTTCCTCACCCATGTATCGTATAACTTCAAGTACTAAGGAGTTAGTTAATTTATACATTAAACTGCTACCAGCAGCTTTCGGTTGTACTTCTTCTAGATCGCCGGATCTACCTATGCCGTGTCCCATACGAAAATGTCGTCTCGCGACGATATTCGACACGATTCTCGCCTCGCGTTCGCCAACACTACAATTTGAGGGAAAATTATTGCTGTCCATTTGTGATAAATCTGACAAAAATGCCTCTATCGTCGCGTCGTCCCAGCCTTCCTCTGGCCATTTTCGCTGTTCACGAGACAAATATTACATTGTAAAATATATATCAAGCAATATTTACTTTATGCTAGTTCCAATTTCAAAACTTACATGCTCGATAAAATGCCGTATAAGGTTCTCCCGGGATTTCTTGGCATTCAAGCCCTGTTGCACATAGGTCGAAGGTATCAGCCTCTCCGCCAAACTAAACGCTTGATTATTCATTTTTTTCAACTTGATGAGTTCCCTTGGTCACTTAGTTCATGTACGTTACCGTTTGGTCTTTTAGTACACCATTGCTTTGATAATCAGCAAAAAATGGATTACCATAGATCACATGTCACTCTTGTTATTTCAGCTATAGAATATTATTATATAAGTGATAAAAAAAATATTGGTCTTATTTCTCACACTAATATGACACTAATATGACGATTGATTTTTGTTTCAATAACGCATTCCTAAATCTTACAATCCAGAGGATTAAATTATTGAATGTTAGATGAAGAAAATTGCATACTCTTGGGAGATCCAGCAAGAATAAAAATAATAATAATCTGAAAAGAAACGCTTTGCCCAAAAGAAAAGAAGAATGATATGCAAGATTTCTTTTCTTTTCTTAATGCTTAATACTTACGAGTACTTAAGTACGTGATAATATCTGTGCAGAATTGACGTGTAAGGGAGAAATGCAGGAGATCCGGATGTGGTACGATGTGAAAGTGTGTGAGTACAATAAATGAAAACACAAATCCGTTTTGCGTGAAGAAAAAGAAAATTTATTGATAATTCGATATGAGAACAGAAACACAACTCAAACGTACAGAACAGATTGTATCCTCGAGATGACGCCACGCGTGAACAAAAGTATACAGAACAGAATCAAACTAAACATCGTCAGGTACAACACAACGAACACGTAGTGCATGTGTATCGGGGTTCGGGGTCACGATGCAACAATGAGAACGTCAACGAGGGAAACTAGACCGATTCGCGATTCCTCCGAGGCGAGGCAGAGCTCAACGTCGAAGGGTCGTTGGATTTTCCGTTCGATTTTCTCCGAGGCAACGTAACCACCCGATGAAGGTCCGACAGTAGATGCAGACCGAGGATAGTCGATGACGCATCGCGCGTCACGGCGCGGTACACATCGTGCGTGTCGAGCCGAGGAACGGACGCGATATCCCAGGGCGATGGGTTTTAAAGGTTATGTGGACGCGCTGGGGGAGCTCGTCGGAGCATCACCGTCCCGCAAAATTCCATACCCGTTTGGAGGCGCAGTGGTGGGCGAGGCGAAGCGCGGTGAGGTGAGACGAGAAGAGACGGAGCAGCGCAGCGCGATACCCGGGACCCGGAGACCCGACCGCGGGAGAATATACTGCTCGAGGTATCACCGCGGGTACATGGTTCGCGGACCTTCCGGGCACACCGAGCGGCACCACAAATCAAAAAGTGGGTTGGGCCGCGACGCGAGCGTACCACTCACCGCGATCCGCGCACCGCGCGACGACGCATCGCTCTCCCGTGAGAGAGAGCGTACCGTGAGCGAGAGGAGACTGCGAGTCCCTATCGCATTTCCTCTCCTCTCCTCTACTCTCTTCCTCCACCACCTCCTTTCCTTCTCTTTCCTCTCGCCTCCCCCTGTCGACGTCAGAAGCGATTTTACTGCGACGCGATGATGATGGATCCACGGTAAGACCCGCGAAAACGAGCCGCGAGATGCAGCCGCGGCGGTGACGGAAAGGACAAAGGGGAGCGGCGAAGATGGAAGGGGGAGGGGAGAGATGCACGCGCGAGGTCGCCGTTTAAATCGGATTAGTTTTACGCAATAGCGATGACCGACCGCGAGCGACGTCGTAATCGGTTCACGTTCACGGTGACGGCGAGCTGTCACTCGTTTCGCGACGTTCGTCGCCGACGACGACAACGGCGACGGCGGCGAGTCGACGACGATGATCAGCGGCGCGTACGCGTGGCGGAGGCTTTCGAGGATCGCGAGGCACGGGCTTTTACCTCCTTCTTCTTCTCCTCCTACTGCTACTCCTACTATCGCCGCTACACCGTGGACTTCGGCGTTCAGCCGACGACGGAACGACGACGACGGGTCACGCACGGCGCCACGGACAAGCCCGTCCGCCGTCGTCGTCGCCGACGGCGGCATCCCCGCGGGTCCGACTGCACCGCGTGTCACTCGCGCCTCGACCATCCGACAGGTGCATCATTTATTGTTTAATTACACGTGTCTCACTGCCTCCCTCCGCTCCTCCCTCCCTTGTGCCCCTGTCTCTCGAAAACCGCATGCCGCCAAATCCGAAGAAGACGAGATAAGCGATTCGTTGCATCTCTTACCAAATGCTTTTCTCTCCCATTTCTTTTTTTTTTAAGTCGTGTTCACGCATGAATCGTTTCAACTGATTTTTCGCGAAGAATGCGCGACTCTGTTGCGTATTTTCTTCCGTGTATTCTTATAAACATGGGAGATTCGTTCTTTTTACATTTGCAGCGCGATGTGATTCGCCTTCGATGAAGACGTCGCGGTTGTACGATCTGCAACACGAGTTTCAATAATTTCTTGAAATTGATTCTCGTACACCGTGCTTCTTCCTGTCACATTAATTATTACCGATTTATCGATCTACCTTTCCCACCCTCCGACTTGTGAGTGAGGCTGCTACTGCCGGATATATCAAGCAAGAGCCTACGAAGAAAAAAGGCTGAAATTACATCAAGTGCGATAAATTTCTAACAGCAACGTGAGGGATATCACAAGATAGCTTATGTGAATTATTTATCATACGCACGTGTATCTTTAAAGATATTCCTTCAAGTATGCTTCAGCATGTCAGACTCGTACATTAAAATATTGCAAGAAAAAAAACATACGAAACCTTTAATTATTCTTAAATTAATTTTTATATTTTAGAAGGATACAAAATTTTTCTCGATTCCTAGATTATATTTGTGCATGTCGGGAATTCTTCGTCATCTGGAGGTTGATATCCTTCAAAATGAGATGAAAATTAAAAAAATGAGGAAATTTATTAAATTTAAATATATGAAATTGCAGATATTCCAATGAATTTCCTCACTTTTGTAATTTCCATCCTTTCAAAGTACACGATCGATTTCCCGCTCCGATTCGTCATGCGTTCGTATTTATTGCGTCTATGCCGTTCAACAATGGCCGCAACAACAAACATTACGTCACTGCCAGTATCATCGTGCTCGAGAATCGAGTAGTTACCGAGTAGCTCATTTATCATCGCGATCAATTTTCGATCGTCGTAACGCTATACGTTTCCCTCATGATCAAATGTCGCGCGCCGGACGCGCACTGAGGACTTTTCGCCGCGTTCGGTTGGCGCGCCTGCGCCCCGAGGTCGCCGTATTTTAGCGAATTGACCTCAGTGCGTCGTGAAACTGTACAGTGGAAGGGTGTGGCGTTCGTTCGCTCGCTCGTTCGTTTTCGCTTGTCGAATCTCAGATGACAACTCGCAGCGTCACGGACGATCTTGCGAGTGGGAATCGTCAGCTTTTGCATCCGTCATTAGAGCGATAAGAAAATCCTGCCGACGAGGTACGAAAGAGGAGCTTCCGCGTTTTTGGACTATAACCTCTGCGTTGACAGCATGAAGTATGCGTGTGCGTGCGCGCGTGTGTGTGTGTGTGTGTGTATATGCGTGCGTGACGCGTAACGTTGCACTGTGTATGAGAGAAAAAGAAAAAATATACGAACGAGCTGTCTATCTTTCTCCCATGCGTTTCTCACGTAAATAATACATCGGAGCATCGTACAGTGGAAAAATTGTCATCGGCTCGATTTCTTATTTCGTTCGAGAAGAAACCGCACATCGATTCCGTCGAATTTCGATGAAAACGCCGTCGCGATATCGTCGTGCTGATTGCCGATTGCGAAGGCGATTATAATAGAGGAATATTTCTTTTGCAGAGGAATTCGAAACCCAATGATCATTTCATTTCATTTTCAACGGTCTCGACGCCGCGAACATGCGAGATCGATCTTCACGTTCACGTTGCGACGAAACGGTCATGTAAATCGTTAAGCATTTTCTCGCGTGTCTCGCGTGTCGGAAATTGAACTGTCGAAATTATCGCCGGTTTTGCCACATCTTTTGCGTACGAATCGCTCGTATTATAATTTACGGAAGGTTCGATTGTTACTTGCGACAAAATGCATCGCATACCCAGCGCGCGAATATAATATTGACTATTGGCAAGCAACATATCGTTATTGCGCTAACACGATGAATTTTTCGATGGTCTCTACTAAAATTTTAATCTTCAAATTGCGACTAAAAAATCTTTTATAATATTTTTAATATTAAAAACATTTTTTTAATTTTCTCTTAATATTAAATTTGTTAAATTTGGTAAATTTGTTATTGTTTTAACACTACAAGTATCAAGCGGTTATTTTTTACCATTCCTTTTTTTGATTAATTTTGATTATTTTTTTTTGTGTCAAGATAAAGAGTGAGTAATGATGAAAAATTAGAAAATTTTTAAATTGTAACTTTTTAATTAATACGAGGCAAAAGATTAATTTAGAAAAATAGAAACAGTGAAAAATGGTTGCTTTTGTAACATTAACGATTAAACAAATTTGAATGTTTATTTTTAAATAATAATAATATTACATACATAAATACATGTGTATATAGTAGCTATACATTTGAAGAAAGATTTTATTAAATATTTGTGTAAATCATATTTGCAGTTAATCATGGAGCTTGAAAACTGTAACGCGCATGGGGATCAGGAGAACACGGGGCCTAACACACCACAACATGATAATGATCCGAGTGGTAACAAAAAGTGGTACCGACAAGCCAGTCAGAGGTTAGTAAGTGCCTCTTTTTATCACCTGTGTACACGTCTTTATGTTGTCTGTAAGTCATTATATGTTTTGAAACTTTTGAATCATATTTTTGTATCTTGCATTTTACATATTCGATATTCAATAGATATAAATTTTCAATTTCAATTTCTAAATATTCATACGTGACTATAAGCTACATTAATTTTTATGTTAATAGCTATAAAATATGCAGCATATGTAAAAAATATATGACATAATATAAAAAGATGAATAACAAGTTACATACGATATTTAAGTTAATCGCTGAAAAGATTAGTTTTATGTCTTTCAATAGTCAAGCGACATAAATATTTCAAACACGATGCGTTTCACCTGGAAACGATGTCGATATTTTAAATAGATTTTGATGGGAATATATTTGGTAGAACAACAATGAACAACAACTTGCTCACATAAGATAACAAATTACGAATATATTTAAGTATTTTATACTCGAGGATAAAGTATTATCAACACAACAGCGATGAACTGTATGCGCAGATAAGAATCCTAAATTTAATCGTTCACACGTTTTTACTCGCACTCGAAATCCTCGTAAATACTTGGATTTTCGTACGTGTTTACGCTAATTTTATTGAAAGCTATAAAATATTCCAATTATCGAAGTTATTAAAACAGTTATCACGCCCTTCGACGAGATTTTATTTTGCGATGATCTTAATTTATCTCGACGCTCGAAAGGCGTGGGCTAACATTACTTCGATGAACAAACTTCTGGAATATTTTTGGACCAATATTCATCTGTTTTCTAATACTTGCGACAGCATCAAAAATATACCAATGCGCATTTTCGAAAATGAATTCACGTGTACCGCGTAAAAATAACTCGTTTAAATGATACATTTCGGCCGCGATGTATTTCGGGACGACTGCTCGACATTCTCTTTTTCCATGGCTGTCATGCAGCGATACATATACAGGTGCAATTAAAGCAAATAATCTTAAGAGGAAAGCACAAGAAAGATTTTTTAAATTTGTAAATCGTAAATATATAAAAAAATATTTAAATAATAAGTAATATTTAAAAAATAAATAATTGAGAAGCTCATCCACGATCTTTTTATTTCGAAAATAAATTGATGTTAAATAAAGATTTTTCAAATAATCGTTTAATAATGATAAAAATTATAAATATTTATATATACTTGTAAATTATAAATATTAAAAAATATTATAATTATAAATATTGGGAAGCTCATTCGCGATTTTTTTATTTCGAAAGTAAATTAATGTTAAATTAAGATTCTCCAAATAACCGTTTGATAAAAACCGAACAAAAAACTGATAAAAGTCATGGAAATTTGCATAATGTCCGACGGAGGAATTTTGAAATAAGCCAATGGAATATCGAAAATGACGCAGATGATGTGCGTTAACGTGTTATCTTTGCTGAGGGCAACATCGAGATAGTCCACGTTCCAAAACAGACATTTGAGCACGTACACACGATCAATTTTGTAATATTCTTTGTTCTCTCTTGGTTTGTCGAGGTTAACAATAGCAAAGTGCATCCGAGTGTTGTTGCAATAAAAATCTATTTCACTCTCGTTCTTATCTTCCGAGCAGAAAAATCCGTAAGAAAACTATGAAAATCACGAGGGTATCACGCGAGTCGCGATCATTCTGACTTCTTCATCGCTTTCGTTACGCGATTGACCCTTGGGCTTGATCCGCTGCGTTCTTATCGTTTCTCCGTGCTTTCGTCAGACTACGGAATCGTGCTGTTTGTCCGCGATTCACGGTCGAAAGTTGTACCATTCCGTCATTACAACATTACACTCCTCCGGGACGGAACTTGAGGAGGACTGCGGAGACTTTACGTGATCAGCGATCGGTTCACATCGCATTTCGGCCGCTCGAGTTTTCGAAAAATCGACGACTCGCACCGTCATTAATTTGCGCGATGAATCGTCAAAATGTCGATGTGATCATTACATCGCCGAACAACGCTATTGGTAATTATCGTTTTTCTCTTTTTTTCCAAGCGCAATTGCTTGGCGCGCGTGTTGCTTTCTTTGTAGATTTTTCATAGTAGTTTCGAGCTGCACGACGGTTTTATTTATGTGTTAACTTTATATATCTAATCTGTCTTTCAATAATCAATACGATCGGACTTCGCGCTGGAAAATATCGCGCGCAATATTAATGATACTTGAAGAGATATATGGAAGTGTCTCGTTAATTACGCTAATTTACAAGAAATTATTTTGAACCAACGTGTTTCTTATAGATTTTTGAATGTCGCAAATCAAATTTTTCCAGCACGTTAATATTTTCAAAATAATTGAGATTTAATATGCAAAAAATAGCTTGTTTACGATATTTGAAGATTTTTTTATAAAGAAGGTTAATGATCTTATCATTATCTTGTCATTATCTTGAAATTCTGATCAGTAGTTATGAATGTAAGGGAAGGTTCATATCTTATTCTTTAACGATGTTATGAAAAATTTTAATACAGAATTTTATTAAGATAACATAAGTCTGTATTAGCAAAACTCTATATTAAAATTCTAAATTTTACATAATTAAAAAGTAAGAAATTAAAATTTAAAAAATGCATTTTATAGGGAATGAATAATATTGTGATTTCTAATGAGAATTTCAGGAAATCATTACCTTTTTTCTTCAAGGATAACTTTCTTTATAAAAAAATTTTCAAATATTATAAAAAAACCATTTTTTGCATATTAAACCTCAATTATTTTGCTTACAGCAAAAATTTAAAAAGCACCTTGCCTGGTTCAAAATGATAAAAAAAATATTTTTTGCAAACTAATTATTGATTATTCTCTTCTAAATCACTTTCTTAGAAATGAGAGGATTCGGTATAATGAAACAAGTCCATAATCCGTAAAACTTGTTTTCAGCACAGAGTAAAATGTTAAATAATTTATCTCGCACAAATCATATTTTGTTTTGCTTCAATTAGTTTTGGCTTTGTAAGAATTTGCAGTTTTAAATTCAGTTTTATCTCGCGGATATTATGAAAAATCGAGCGAGGAAATGCATAGCTTGCGAATGTGGACTTATCTCATTAATCGCGGGAACTCGAATTCTCATTAATTGCAACGAAGACGACTCGAATTTCACGGTGCAGGACCGAGGGTGCGATTCCCAGATGACTCGAACGTATTCCCCGAGGAATCGATTCACCGTACCATGCTCAGCCTTAACGTAGGACTGACCAGGAACGATCGTAGCGAGCAAGACTTGGACAGCTACAACGAGGGCACGCACGGCGCCCGCAGTGATAAGCGCGAACTGGGGCACAGGTAAATCTAGGATTCTGCATATTAAAGCCGGGGTAAAAGCGGTCACAGGACGCGGCGTTATTAATACGTGATAAGGCGGCTTCGACATGCAAGACACAGTTCACCTCGCCAGTTCACCCCGGCGAAACTTTTCGCCTTACTCCAATTATAGAATCTGGCCCTGGGTCGGAGTAATGCAGAGTTTTCAGCCTAATTTTAACTTATTTTACTTCGCATTCCGATCGTTGAGGATCACGCCACTCCTCATTGCTGGGAGTGGCATCTCAGATGATTAGTCGCGATACGGGATCGCTTCCTGGTACATTAAGATCAAGATGTGTGCGCCAGATTGCTCGCTCTAACAAACTCGCGTACTTTCGGTCGTTTATTTATCCTCGTCGTTTTACCGCGGCATTCATCCTCGAATGTCTTACCCTCGAGGAAAGAAAAATCCTTAGCGTGAATTCTCTCGATTCTCGCTCCGCGCGGCGCAGCACGGCGCGGCGCGGCCCCGGGATTGAAATTTTCTCGCGCGAGGAGAAGGATTCGCGCGTCGTGTCGCGGCATCGATTTTGCGTCCGGGAAAATATAGGATATTTTCACGTGGTTCGGGAAACACCGTGGATGTATGCACGCGGCGTCGCATCTCCCGATAATGTGCGCGCGCGCGCGCGCGTTTGCCGCACAACGATCTGCAGTGCTCGTGTAACGGTGCTGATGCAAAGACTGAGAGGTACGCCTCTCGAGACATCGCTCGCCGATCGATTACCGCTTTGAATCCAGCAATCCCCCGATGTTGTATCAAACTCGCGAATTTTATTATCGGTACATCCACGGATTCGGCCGATTATATCCGGCCGATTCTCACAGTCGTGTGAGACCGCGACTTAAAAAAGAGAAAAATTATTTTACGGTTTTCTCTTCTTTTCACTTGCGTTACATCGTATATTATTATTATTATTCTCGTCTCATGTTTATCACATTCACACGTTCACACCACGTTCACACGTTTTTTCCTTATATACCATAATAAATACCATAGAATGTCCATTGTAAGAAAACAAATGTCCTCGTGAAGAAAACAAATGAAGGATATGAAAGGTAGATTCTTCGAATGGCTGCATTTTAATGCACTTCTTGAATGTTGCATATGTGCTGTCTCTTATATCTCGAATAACTGCAATATTCTTCAAGTAATCATTCCCGCGTTCAAAGTTGCAATTTATTGACGAGGAAATTTATCGTCTTGTGTCAGAGAGCGAAGTAGTGCCAAACCTCAAAGATCGAGGTTTCTTCAGGCATCATAATTCATCGTCTTCTTGTTGAAGACGAAAATAATCATTATTGTGCTTTTATCGGTCTTTTTATTTCTAAGAGCACTATGTGTAATGCTCGCTATTTCATCGTTACTATAATCAGTGCGGGAGGAACAATGCGGGAAATCAATCGGAGCGGTACACAGAGAGAATAATCGGGATAGATTAACGCGCTCAATGGTATTATTAGATAATGAAAGAGTTTCGTCACTCTGCAACGTTAGTAATCTTTCTTAGAATTTTATTGTGCTAACCGCAGTTATTTCATTGTGTGCAATTATTTCCAACTTGTAATTCTCACGACGTACCAGCAACTTCTTAACAAAATATTTAGAAAAATGTCTTTTTTCATTTCTTTTTTTCTTTCTTTTTATTTATATTATATACATATTTAGAGTTAATATAAAATTAATTTACTTAATATAAAATTAATTATATATTGTTAATTTGAAATTAACAATTGTTAGTAAATTTATTCTTTCTATCTGTTTATTCTTTCTATCTATAGTGTATTTGGAGTTAACAAAAAAATTTATATACGCACAACATAACTGCTTAAAATACACAAATAATTCTTGATAAACTCATTTATTTAGTTTATTCGTATTTATGAACGACGCACAATGAGGAGATTAATTATACTCGATGTAACAGTTTAAAAAAAAAAGTATTATCTCCGTAACGGCGCTAAACGTTTCTCCTTCTTATTCTCGTATTGCATGTTCATCGTACCCGATTGGACCAAGAACTGTCAAGACGCTTTTGTGAGTCAATTGCGATAAAGCGACTAAAAATTTCCAGCGACGCAAACAAGTTTCTTCACTAAGCAGATAGTAGCAACAACTGATGTTCTACGTAATCGAGTAAAGTATTACTCCAAAGCACTACTCCATAAGAATGCGCTATTATAATAATAATAATAATAATAATAATAATAATAATAATAATAATAATAATAATAAACTAAATAAAATAAATAATTAGTTAAATTTTAATCTTTACGTACAAAAGGATTAAAAAAGTACGTTTCGTATATTCATATGTTATAATTAACAACAAAATAAGAAACAATGAAACTTTACAATAAAGTGATTAGACACGTTCTTTTATCTTTCAATCTTAATGAGTTTTGTCAAGAATTACATCGCTAGAAAATTATTGTTTGAAACACATCTTGATAAACGTCATCACATTGATCAACGTTTTCTTTTCGTGGGACCCATCGTGGAACACTACGTGGAACGGTACATTTTTTTTTTTAGAATATTGATGTGCAGCAATAATTACCATGATGATTGCCTTTATACTGCCTCCGCTGTATAAGAGTAATGATCAAGAACTTACGCAACGAGCACAACTTATTTCAGTCACTGGCAGACACTTCTGGCACAACGTGAGAAGTTCCACGTCGCAATAGTAAACGCGTGTAATTCATTCATGTCGTTATTAGCGTTACGCTACAAACGTTGAATCTGTCAATGTTTTAACTGTCATCTTCGAGTAATGTTTTATCTATATCAAATATACAGACGGATTAATAATTAAAAATAATATGTAAGATATCTCAGATTTTCTGTGATTTTCTTTCTCATATCTATTGATTAGGATTTAAAGTAGGACCTGGAACGCACTCGGTTTAAATTTCTCTTTAACAACGTTTTTATTAAATGCCCCTTTCTTTTTTCTATCTTAACTCATAGTTAATAATTAATAGCTCTCTCCTACTCAAATTGTTTTGTTGAAAAAAATTTACATAATGTGTAAGCAAACATTGACTTTGAAATATGAACTAACAATTTTTTCAATTTTTAAATATTTTATTATAAAAGTCAGATCTCTGATATACAAGACTTGTGATTCATTTTTATTATAAGATCACTTGATTACTAAGGAATAAGATTGAAAAATGAATATATGATTTCACAGTTACGTAATGTTGACTGAAAGTTAACTAAGTAAACTATTAAAATAATTTTATGTGCGGATGTAACGTGCGACATGGATATCGTGAATAAATGATTGGTGAAAGTGCAAGCGGTGCGTGTCTCAGTCGTGACTTGCGTGCCGATATGCACACATCCTCCTGTCTGCAACACTTTGACCGACTTAACTAAAAATCCATAGAGATAAGAAAATCGTGTTAGGAGCAATTAATTATCAAGAAAAATTACGCGAAATCGTTGAAAATATCTTCTTAAACAAATCAGATATTAAGACGAAATTGCCTCGGAGTATCAACTGCAATATACATAACCATCGTAAAGGGGATCAGGAGTAGTTTCTCGAAAGAAAACTTTAATAATCTCACAAAGGATGGCATAACAAAAAAAGAAAGCTATATACGCATATTTAACATCGCACATTGTCGACAAATGGGATCGAGTCGTACGTAAGCGATCTCTAATCGCGTGTTCGTGTCGGACGGATGGGGCCACATACCGTGCATACGATAACGCGAGCCTCGTACTCAAAGTTCATACCGTAGGATCGAAATCGACGATTTTAGGATGTCTAAAATTAGACTGGATAAGGTCAAGTTCTCATGCGTGTATCTCAAGCGATGTGACTCACCTGGCGCAACCGGATGGATTCGCGTGAGCCGTTTATCCGTTCCGTAAAGTTCGCGGGAACATCGATACGTCGTAGGAAAAGGAAAGCAGCGGTCTCTTTTTCTCGCGACTCGGACGAAAAAGAAGAATATGGGAGAAAATATGAGGGAAGTGTGAACGAGGGAGAGACGAGCGCGTTGCTCAACGCGTTTTATTTCGCACGCCTTTCGTCGGTGCACCAACATGTGCGTTCACCATCGCGTCGAATAGCGACATCGTAATTACGAGGTGAATCCCAACACACGTACATATGTACGTATCCTTACAGATACATAGACACGGGATTCTCTAATCTAGTCGGCGACGAAACTTGAACAGCAGTCCTGCACGCGATCATCTCCGATTGGGGGAGGTTTGTGTCCGGAAGACGATGAATTAGCTCCCATCGTTGCGTATTAATCGACTCCGGCGGCTCGTCTCGGACCAGTTGACGGTTACTCATTGAGCAGACAGCATCGTCGTCGTCGTCATCGTCGTCGTCGTCATTATTTATTTTTTTTTCTTCACCATCAAAGCAACGCCTTTCACACGCTCGCTCGTTCCGAACTACAACTTACATTACGGTAATCCGACTCGAGAGCTTTCGTCTGCGTGAGTGCGTCATCGAGAGTCGATGACTTTTCCGATTCAGAAACGATCGACTAAACACATAGTAGGGTTTCACAGAACGTTTTGCGCAGACAGTTTTCCTTTAACTGTGAACGCGCGTTCTCTTTGTGTACTACTTGCGTCATGTTTCTTCGATTGGTGTCAAGATATTTCGCTTCTTCTCTTTGAAAATTTTGTCAAATTTTAATAAAAGAAGGACTTCTTCTTGAGCTCATGTGATTGTTTCGCAAGGTTGTATCATTTGTTGTGTCAGTGTGTTATCATCAGCGTGTCAAACAACATTCCTTTTTATTGTGTTTAATTGTCTTTATTAGTCCGTTCTATATGATCGGAGCGATTTATACGAAATTTTACTTATGATTTTAATATATATAATTTCAAATATAATTACAGATAAAAAGATTTTACCATTGTGAATTTCGTATTATTATAAATTTGGATAATAACGCGTAAAATGATTATTAAATCTACATTTAATAAATGTGAAGCGTAAAATAAAAGGAAAGTTCCTATCAGTTACAAAGATGTTTGTTTTTGGAATTATAACATATATTTTGAATTCAATGTAATACCACTAACACCATCTTTATATTACATGACATTTATTGTATATATTGCTTTAAATGGAAGTTTTCGAATTTAGACATATTAGACATACTTTATCACCTAGACATACTTTATCTCGAGTTTGACTCATCTCTTTAGCGGCTTTGTTACATAGCACACTTATGCCGTGCTTGATAACATAAACGCAAATCGATCGCAGGGTACTGATGATTAGTTGATATTCCGCGAAAAAATGTGGCTGAAGGATATGAAGAACGACGTCTTGCCAGCTGCGAATTTTGTGAATTCGCGACGGTGCGTCCAAAATGAGTAAGTTCACCGTTCTCCATTTTACTCGTATAGATTTGTAAATATTTAACATAAAGCGAAAATCCAACAAATTTTAAATTTATAAATAAAGAATCAAACGGCTGAGCCTGACGCAGAACGGAAGTGTGATGTAGATGCGAGTATTCTAATCAATACTGGAACGATATGTATAAAATAAAAATACTTGTATTTCTATTTTAGATTGTCATTAACATAAGCAGAGAGAAGTAACTTGATCGAGAAGTGCGAAGTAGTTTGGAGAGTTTACGAAGATTTGGAAGATTATTTATGTTTCCAATATCTTTGGGAATTCTCCAATTCCCTCTTTCTCTTTCATATTTTTATATTTTCCTTTATTTATTTTAAATTAGATTGCTTAGATTATTAGATTCCTTTATTTATTTTAAATTATTAGATTGCTAATTAGTGCAAAGAACATTTCTATTGTGCATACTTATATTGATCTTTTGGTTTTTTTTTTTGGTTGGAATACTCATTCTGCATCGATATTAGCCTTATGACTTTTCTAAAGACTCATATCCACTTTTATAAATGTAAATTAATTAATTGATTTAATTCA